TTTTATTATTATTCATTTTTTTTATTACTTTGGCTCTTTTGGAAAAATGCATTAACCAAAAATAAAAAATTGGCTCTTTGGTCAAAAAAGGTTCCCTACCCCTGTTATAACCTTATGATGTTATCCTTGCATTATCCTCTCCTGGGCCTGGTTCTGTACTTTGCCTACTCATTTTGCACGGCAGAAGTACATTTACATTTAGTCATTTAGCAGACGCACTTACCCAAATCGACTTACAAATGAGGACAACAGAAGCAATCAAAACCAACAAAAGGGCAATAATATGCAAGTGCTGTGACAAGTCTCGGTTAGCTTAGTTTTTTATTTTATTTTTATTTTTTATAATAAATAAAAAGAAAACAAGTAGATAGAATATAAAAAAAAGAATAGGGAATGCTAGTGTTAGAGGGTCTTTTTTAAAATTAAAATAAAACATCAAAACAATAGAAAAATAATAGAGATTGCTTTTGTTAGAGGGTAATTTTTTTATAATAAATAAAAAGAAAACAAGAATAAAATAAGATGCTAATAAATACCAGTTTGCAATATAAAATGGCATAACGGACCGTTTTTGTACATCTAAAATAGCTGGAAGTGAATGACACCGGAAGCCCTGCACATTTGTTATAAATGGCCACACCCGCTCTTATGTTAAACATAGGGTGGATATTATATGAGCACCACAAAAATGAATTGATGTTAGTGATGTGAAGAAGATTTTAACAGCTTAACGTGCATGTTAAAGGAAGTTCTTATGTGTCTCTTTCTTTCTTTTTTTTCCTCATCCTGCTGCTTGCACCTTTGACACTCTCCGTAAGTGCCTCTCTCACAGTGAGGCCTCTGTCTGTCTGTATGCTGTCTTTCTCTATTCTGATGCTTTTGCAGAACTTACTGCATGTGTATATATGTCTACATGCAGCCCATAGCTCAAACCCTTGGTGGTTTCTCACACCTACACAATAAGAACAGGAAACGCACAGGCCCAATAAAGGAAGTGTGACCACCACATGATTAGGCAAGGGCTCTGACTCCACTCCTCTCCTCCTTCCTCTCACTCATGCACTGTCCTTTTGCCTTCAACTCTTTTTCAAACTTCAACGTTTTTCTTTCCTAATGGTGTTTTTGCAGTTCTCTTCCTTCATATTTCAGATTCCTCTGCAATTTTTTGCTGAGCTGTTTGATATTCAGGTCTGCCATTAATCACTATCCTATAGTTCCTTCCATAGACAGAGGGTGAACCAACTCCAGGGTAAGGCTAAAAGCAACCAAATGTATTAAACATCGTAAACCTGTCTTTTTAGGCAAGAACCAGACATGGGTGTCATGTAGGCTAATAAAATGTTTAATGGGACTGAATTTGTATTTAACGTAATTTCCAATTTAGTAAAAACATTAGAAATTGATAATTATATATTTTTTTTCCTTGGTTATTCAAACAGCGAATAAATTATAGCTATATAGAAAGTGACATTATCACTAACTTTGATCTATCGCGAGTTTAAGCACTCTCAAAAAAACAAAACAAAACTATTGTTATAATCACTGAAGCTGTATACACTGTGAAATGAATCTCTTACTTCCATTGTACGCGCACGCACTCAAAACTGATGAGTTTCAGCGATGACTCATCTAAACGCCTCTGATTGGCCATTGCATTCCTAAGCGCAACAGAATTGTGTTTGGTTATAATGCGCAACACTGTAAAAACGCCTAAAATGAAATACGGTGCAACATGAGCAAATCTTAATTT